TATAATCGTGCAGTATCACAATATATCACAGTAGTTATCTTCTAACTACTTAAACGTTCAATATTACTTAATCAAAACAGCTAAAGAAAGCTAATCCGTGAATTCGCTACAGTCAACAAGAGCAGTTTTCTAAACAACAACAAACTAAGCAACTACTACGAACTGAGATGTTTTCCTCCTTTTATAAGATTTTAAAATCACGTGCTAGAATTTTCTAGTACTTTCTCGAAATCAAAAAGAGATATTTATTTATTTAATGCACGCGCTCTTGTACTTTCAATTTTCCGGCTTAGCTTTCTTTTAATATTCGTCATGCGCTGCACTGCGTGAGAAATAAAACCATTTAATTTATAATTGAACTAACATTAGCTTTTTTTAAATACCAAATTCGTAATAATATATATATATATATACAGTGTGACTGATAATTCATGGTACAAACTTTGAGGGCTGGTATAGAACACTGTAACAATCACATTTTGTAAATTAATTGTAATTAATTTTTAATTAATTTTGCCGCTTGTAAACAAGGTTATGAAAATAAAACACTTTCCCCATCATTTGCTGGATTAATTGCTGGATTCACTGAACTAAACACAGGAAAGATCCTGTGTTTGCGTTTCGATGTTTCACTTTTGAACCTACATTCCTATACAAAATGTGATTGTTATACACTGACTACCAATAAGTATTTGGACACCTGTGATAGAAAAGAAAAACTAACTTTATTCAAAATCAATAGTTGGTAGAGCCTCCACAAGAGGTAATTACAGCGTGGACCCTCCGGGGCATACTTTCCACAAGTCTTTGTATGACAGCTAGTGGTATTTTCTTCCACTCGGCTTGGAGAAGACATAGAAGTTCCTTCACCGATTTTGCACGGGTAGTGCACTCCTGAATTCGGCGATGCAACTCGTCCCAGAGGTTCTCGATAGGGTTCAGGTCTGCACTCTGGGCAGGCCAGTCCATTCGATGAACTCCATTGGCACCATACCAAGCCTTGGTTAACGTCAAAACATGACAACTGGCATTGTCGTCCTGAAAGTAACAGGGGTCCAACCCATAAAACTGCCATAACGTAGGAAGCACATTGTCATCCAAAATAGTGCAGTAGGCATCGGAGTTGAGCTTACCATGAATGGGGACAAAGAGTCCCAGCCCATACCAGGAGAAACACCCCCAGACCATAATTCCACCTCCGCCAAACTTGACTGTTGGCACAATGTATTCTGGCAGGAGACGTTCTCCAGGAAGATGCCAGACCTAGACCCTGCCATCCGAACGGTAAAGGGTAAACCTTGATTCGTCACTCCAAAGAACCCATTTCCAATGATCTACTGTCCAATTTCGATGTGCTTTGCACCACAATAACCGAGCAGCGCGGTTGAACTTTGTGATCAAAGGTTTATGGGCAGCAGCACGACCATGAAATCCAAGCAGATGTGCTTCCTTACGGATGGTATTCTTTCGCGGATGAGGGCCATCGGTTGGGTGCGGTTTTTCGGAGTTTCTCTGGACAGCACTCATCGGTCTCTATCTTTCAGTTACGTTGGTCTGCCAACTCGGGGTACATTCTGACAATCACTTCTCACCTTCCACCTCTTAATCACATAGGCCACTGTCGATTTGGGGTACTTCAGATCACTAGATATGTCCCTTAAGGATCGGCCACATTTGTGATATCCGATAATTATACCTTTCTAGAAATCAGAGAGCTCCGAACTGCGAGGCATCTTGCATGCGACTAAAGCCGATGCTGTTTCCTACACAATATATACCGGTGGAGTCCGTGATGTACCTTAGGACCGCAGATATCTTCATTTGCATAGGTGTCCAAATACTTATTGGTAGTCAGTGTATATGCCGTGGCAGTTAATGCATCGGCTGAGCAAGGCATATATATAAGCCTGCGGCAGTTAAGGTGTTAATAAAATGGGCCTACTTCATCTTTCAAGTCTAAAAAAAAGCCCACTTGAGTGAATTCTGTAACATTTGACATTTTTTTCTTCGCTGCCTTTATTCTCTGTTTTCTGCCTTTATTAAGTTACCTATAATTTATAGCATTTTTGCTACATTCCTCTTTTGCATTCTCTTCGAGTGCTCACAACTTCCTCACGATTATTTACCTTTTTTAAATTTATTTATTCTTCACTCTTTTTTTTTTTTTTTTTTTTTTTTCCTTTACCAAAAAATTTTTACAATGCACTACAACGTTTTTAATTGCTGGATTCAAAACAGATTAGTTATTTTGGTTTTAAATATTACAATTTATTTTATTCACTGAACTAAACACTGCAACTTGTTCCATTCGTTAAGCTGACGCGAAGTGATTCTTCACTTTGATTTAAATTTATGGCAGTTAGCATTGGAACTTCTTTATAGATTGGAAATCCAGATAATTCCATGATTTTATTTTTTATTTTTACAAAATAATTCATTTTTATTACATCATTTTTGCTATACCATACTTAGTGTTGCAATGGAGGTTTTTTTCTAATTATTTTTACTGTTAATCAGTTTAAAATTCATAGTTCATCTGAATCTATCACTCAGCACATTATATGCTTAGCAATGGTATTTTGCAACCAAACAGAACAAATACAGTCAAAAGTCTTTAATCCAGACTCGTCTGGGGCTTCGGCGATTCCGGATTATGGATCATCAGTTTAAATCTGGTAAGATGGCATACAGAAATTATAAAATTAAAAATATGAAACTGTAATTTATGAAATAAAGAGCAATTACGATCTAAAGGGTATCAAAATTTACAAAAAAAAAAAAGCTTATTATTTATTTGTTTACTTTATTAAATATTTCTTTCAATGCGCGCATGCGTAAAACATAGTCGAAATTAGAAAATTGCAACCAGAAAACTATTTGATGTGTATTCGTGATATTTATAATGAGGAGGAATTTGAGTTAAATCATATAAAAGATGGAGTACATTGAGATGAAATACTACATTTAGTAAGGAATTTTAAGCTGAATAAAATAAAAACATCTTGCTGAAGATAAGGATAGTGCTGACAGATCAACTTCCAGTTCATTGCGCGCCGTGACGTTGCTGCAGTAACCCCATGGTGACAATGCAGCAAAAGATGTAAATTTTTTATTTTTGTTTTCGCCATGTTTTGCCCTCTTTTCTTGCAGTTTGTTAGTGTGCTTGTGGTTTTCTCCTTTTTTCATATGTTTATTTCGAATTTAATATGGGATGACTTTTAAATGTTCTGTTTATTTTAACTTATTTTGCATTATTACTATCACTTGTTGTTGCTTTCAGTGTGCAATTGGATGATTAGGTTTGAACTGCTTTTTACTTGATATATATAATGTCATATTTTTGGGAAGCATAGAAGAAGAATCAGCTTGCAGTTGTCGTAGCTGAGAATGAAGGCTTACAAATGAAGATTATAAAACAAAAATTCCCAGTCTGTATTATCACACATATCCAATTAATTTGGCAGACATTCAATCATAATTAAATATGATAAATTTCGATGTACATCAATTCTTAAAATTAAGACGCAGGCAGTTTAGACGAGGCAGCAAAGCAAGGAGTTATTAGCAAGGTGGAACCTAGGAAAAGAGTGACGAAGTTAGCTTGCCAGAGCATTTATACCAAGTTTAATGTACAAGTACAGCTAATCTATGATTGGTTAGTTAGTAGTGTTACATCTCTCTCTATATATGTGTGTGTGTGTTATATTATGCATTTCCTAACTAATCAAATTCTCGTACCATAATTTATGCTGCAATAGATCAAAATTTCCATTTCCATAGACAATGACTAGGATAAATTACATTATACATATGGAATTTTCTTCATTATCTATAAATTTTCAGGAGGAAGAAAGAAACTAAATTCTGCATTGAAGCTGTAAATCAGCGGTGCCCAACCTTGTGCTCACCAGCCCGATTAGGTACTCTGAAAAAATATTTTAAAAAAATCCCATTCATTTATATTTCTTAATTGTTAAACTATGGTAAGCATTTATAGTCATAAGAGATATCTTGCAAGCCGTCATAAAATAATTGATTGCTGACTGATGAACTTGATAGCAAACATGGAATCTTATTCCTTCACTCCGATGCTAGATGGCTCAGCAGGGGAAAAGTACTTCAATGATTTGTAGAACTTCTTTAGCCAATAAAGCAGTTTTGGGAATCCAGAAACGAAAGTTATAAAGAATTGGACAATAAAAATTGGTTATCCGATTTGTATTTTCTCACGGATATAACAGCTAAACTGAACAAACTGAATGAAGATCTCCAGGTTAAAGAAAAAACTCTTTTTCAAAATCAAATGAAAGAAAAAAATTTCACCCATTTTCAGAATTTATCAAGCCTTCTTAATAAACACAAGGTAATTGAACCAGAGAAATACTCAGAAAACCTTAATGCATTGAAAAATAATTTTGAACTCCACTTCTCCAATTTTCCTGAAGTTCAACCAATATTATTATTCATCTCAAACCCATTTGGCGAAATTAATATTTCAGATGTATCACATAAGATTGGAAATATGTTTAACAAAAATGTTGATGTTTTAGAAATATGGCTCGCGATAGGCCAAAGGTTGGGCACCACTGCTGTAAATATTGAAAGGCAATGGAAGGCTACTTTATAACTCAACCAACATTTTCTAGTATCCAGAAGCCTGAACAAAATGATGGAGTCAAAATTTAAGATTTGACTCAAAGTTCAGGCCTGGAATTTAGAATAATCAGTTTGTATTGTTGGTGTACATTCTAATGGAAGGAAGTGTTAAGTTGCTTTAATATGAAAAGATTTCAATTAAAAAATAATAATAAAAATCTAGACTTCACGGTTATACTTGACATTGGAGATAACACATGGAAATGCCAGCATAATTGGCATTAAAATACAATAATGAATATAAGAATGTATAAGAATGTCCACTGAATATAGAATAATTTATAGATTTAAATTTCTTTGCTGTTCCTTCAGCTTTTAATTTGTGATTAAAAATCTGCTCTTACCTTGGAGTCCGATCATCGAAATTGCCTTCCCACTTGAAGCCATCACTATAGCCGCTGTATTTGTTATACTGTTCAACACCTGTAAAATATTTATGAAATAAGACTTTATTATAAAGGAGATAACATACAACAATTTTAGTAACTATACTGATCAAGGAACTTGTAATAACAGGGTAAACTACTCTTATATATATATTCTAATGCTGTAATATAGTTTTTTTTATCTCTTTATTAAGTGCTTCACTTAAAAGTATCAGTAAAAGATTAACTGTTTTGTTTAAAAATATCTAACAAATTAATTTCATATTTAAAAATAATATCACACAATTAATCATCATATTCATATTCTCCAGTATTTCATTTTTTAAATGATAAAAGTAGTTAGAATCAAGGTACAGAACAACAGGAGCATATATTTCAAACATTTTCATTAACATATGAAGTTTTTGATAATGAAGCATTTATCATTTATCAGGAACTAAAAGACTCACATCAGATATCCTCAGTGCAAGGTAATATACAATATACATTTACTTTAGACTATAAGAAAAAAAAAATAAATTATATGTTAGTTGAAGTTCTTTTAAAAAATACTGTTAAAATGGAAAAGAAGCCACGGGAAAAGCAGCACAGTTGAAGGGCGGAACACATGCTTACAAATATAAATCTTGCTTTACATTGATGTATTTTTGTTTCTAACAGTTAATGTCAATGAATCGGACAATAGTTTTAGTTTCAAATAATGTCAATCATATAACTGTTGCTATTACATGGCTCAAGTTATTTGTTTATATAATCTAAAAAATTCAGTAAAACTGTATTTTAATATAATTAAAGACATCAATCCAAGAAGCATGTTATTGGTTTTACAAAAAATAAAAATTAAACAGTTAGTTGTTATGAAACATAAGCAGTTTAGTTTTTGAATTCCAAAATTTCTAACAGTTTGAGAATGGATTCTTATACTACTGAATAAGTGAGGAATATACATAGTGAAAAATCTTGCTAATGGAAATCAATTAGCAATAAAAATACAGGAACAATAAGTTGTGATAACAATTCATGTTTGTATATACTTAATCAATTTGTATGATGTAAATGATAAATGCGTAACCATAAAATGATAAATCAGTTTCCATGGACTATCTCTATACATTTCATGTTAGTGCCGGCAAAATTAATTTATGTGTTATATGATTGTACAATTATAAATAATTTTTGTTGATTATACCCAAAACATTTATGTTTCTATACATATAACATATTTGCAGGTTGTTGTAAAATAGTAAATCTGTTTCAAGTCGATTCCATAATGTCTGTTCTCACTTTTAGAAATGCTACTGAAATAAAATATTTATAAAATTTAACATGTGTTGTTAATTTTAATATATATAAATTTATTTCTAAGAAAAATATGAGAATTACATAAAACTATAAGAAGGGTCAATATAACATATATAAAAAAGGCCAAATATTGCATTATTTTATTTTTGACGTCAAACTGAATTCAGAAAATTTCAGTTTGAGTAAAAAAAAATATATGTGATAATAGTACATTTATATAAGAAATTAAAGGTCACAATTTGGGAAAGTAATAAATTTATACCATATTAATAGATTAATTTGAACAAATATATATTAATTATTAATTTGAACAATCTTAACTATCTTGCTATTTTGTTGAATAAGAAGTACAATCGTCTATTTTATGGCTACAATTCCACTTAGATTTAATATATATATATATATATATATCAATCGCAGATATAAATAAATTACCTGTTACAATCAAAACTTCATTAAAGTCTAAACATTCCACAAAGAGACGGGAAACTATGAGTTCAGGACAAATGACGAATCTAATTTCTTCTTGTACACATCCTTGTCCTAACACACCTCCACCCACAAATTTGTTAGCAAAATCAACCTAATTGAATAAATCCTTTGTTTACATTTTTATACTATGTTTTCACTGTTTAAAAAAATTTGCATAAAAATTAAAATATTTTTATTGCAACTTAATATAGTTCTATATTCATGAAATGTGGTGGCCAATTAAGGATTAAAAATTAAATTTTGGCCAAATACTTGTTTAGTCCCAAAAATAATTCATTAGAAAGAGCTTAACAGCTTTCTTCCTTAAAAGGAAGAAACAAAAAAATTGTTGAATAATTAATTTCTTTGTTGTTGTTTCAATGCAAATCTTATTGTAGCATAAACATAACTATGTTGGTAATGATGGAGCCTGAAGCATCACCAAATTACTCAATCATAAACATTACAAAACAATCTGTATGGCACTAATTTTGATTTAAAAAAGATGTATAGAATTTAAGGCTATGATAAAATACACTAGGGCTGTATGCCTAAAGAATTCAAGCCTAGGCTGCATTTCATGAATCGTTTCCGCCACAAATTTTAGCATCAAATAAGTATACTTATAAAACGAGATATGAAAGTCGGGAAAATATTAGAAATGATATCACTTTGAATGAAAAAGAAGTGATGTTCAATATCGATGTTTGTTTATACTCTTGAAAATATGAAAATACCACAAGATGGGCCAATACTTAAGAACCAGTGAACTGGATTAATTTATGGCAAAACACAGAAGGAATAACTGCATTTACAAATCTGCTCACTAAGATAAGATTGGAATTTAAATAACTTATTAAGATAAAAAAAAAACTCTGTTTGTTGTACTCATTCATCTATCACACACACTAAAAGAAAATTCTTTTAATTATTTATTAGTTTTTTTATCTGTGGATTTTGTGTTTGGGTAAAAATAAAAGTATTGCCATTTAAGAAAAATATTTGTTGCAAAACTTGTGCACATGTGATGCAAGGAAATAAATGCAAAACAATGCTCTGGATAATTAAATCTTTCCTTCATTAAATATGTGACCAAATTTTCATGTGATAATTTAGCTTTACTGTTTGAAAGTTCAATTTAAGTATAATACAGTCAAAAGTCGTTAATTCGGACACCCATAATCCGGAATGATCTATAATCCAGACCTCAAAGCTAAAAACTTTCTGCGTATGCGCCGCGTTGACACATGCACATAGGCGTTTACGCGTGCGCGTAACACCTTTACGACTGTGCATATGCGTGTGTGCAAATGCAGAATACGTTTTCGCGTGCACGTTTAATGTATAAGGAATGGTATAAGCTAAAATTATCTAATTATCTATTTCAGTTAATGTTGATGATTACATTGTTCCTTAATCTTCGAAGTGGATCCGGCTTATTATTTTTTGCAGACTGTAAGAGCAATTTTATAAAAGTAAACTTGAACTTTTGATTATGTCAAATAGAATTTCTGATGCTGGAGCTCCCAAAGGATCTACAAAACAAAAGTATATTTTGATGTCCATCAAACAAAAAGTGGAATTGCTGCAAAAAATGGATAAAGACATGAAGAAGGTGACAGAGAGGTTAGTGAAAACGAAAAAATTTCGATTGATGAATTAGTCGGTATTCTCGGCACAGCAATTACGGGACTTGAACAGCGGAACTTTGTAACTGAACAAGAAATTATGTCTGTTTATAGAATTAAAGAGAAAGTATTATCACATAAAACGAAGCAACTTAAACAACTTACATTGAAAGAAATGTTTAATAAAGGAAACAAATAAATATTAAGCTTTTTTTTTTTTTTTTTTTTTTTTTTTTTTTTTTTTTTTTGTAAATTTTGATCATAATTGTTCTTTATTTCAGAAATTACGGTTTCATATTTTTAATTTTAGAATTTCTGCATGCCATCTTACGAGATTTAAACTGATGATCTAGAATCCGGAAAAATCGATAATCCGGAATCGCCGAAGTCCCGACGAGTCTGGATTAACGACTTTTGACTGTATATTTTTTTTTCCTATATTTTTAATTCTGTGGTGACTAACTCTTAAACCAGTATGCCTATCATATCTGCTTAAGAATTGAACTGAAATCTACATAATTAAGATCAGAGAGCAATTTTTTTTAATCTTATGATTTTTATGTTTTAATTTTTGGTTAAGCTTTGGATTATGGTAACTTGGTGATTTTTTGGAGAAAATTTGGCGACCAATCTTAACTATCTTAATTTGGTGACTAATCTTAACTATCAACCCTGCTACAGCAACCTGCTAGTTTTTTTTTTTTTTTTGTTTGTTTGTTTGTTTGTTTTTTTGGATGCCATTTTGTTTTCACAAAGTAAAAGCACACTTTTTTTTTTTTTTTTTTTTTTTTTTTTAACATTTTTTCCAAAAATCTGCTAGCCGAATTATGCTTATGCTAGAACTTTTATGGAACAAAAATGCTTAATCATGACGAAATTAGGTGCGAAATTGGGAGAAAGTGCAGAATCACCCACTGCTTGCCGCATTTTTAAGAATTGCACATACACGGTATCCATGTACACGTCAACCTATTTTCACTTAAAAAAAACATCTCAAATTGCACAAAAATGGCATTGCGCACACTCTTGACTTTATCCATGTACACTACTAAAGTCCTAGCTAGTAACCTTTATCGCATTACCAAAATGTCGCCAAACTACCTGTTACCATATTCCAAAGATTAGCCTAATTTTTGTATTTTTAAACAAAATTTTTGAAGATTGTAATTCTAAACTTTTCAAGATCTTAAAAACTGTAATTCAAAGTTTTCAGATTGCAATTGCATTATTATTATTGGTTTAAAAAGAACATTTACATAAAAAATAATAATTGATAAGGAATAAAATAAAAGGCTAATAGTTAGTAATGGAAAAATTTTGAATGCATTTATAATCCTTGATATAAAAATGTAATTATGCTATAAATGCTCTCTCAGTATACCGTATGTAAAAAAACCATACTACCAACAAATGATATAATTCTTTTAGAATGTCTGTCTATGATAAGAGTTGTACAGATCTAATTATAAGTTTAAATTATGCATGGAAAAAATGAAAATTTAACTTCTCAACAATCTATGCGATCCTGTAACCATTAGAAGATGGCAACTAGAGATTAATACAATCTTGTATATAGATTTATAACAAGAGTTTTTCATTTATGGAAAATGGAAGATGCTTGACTTTTAAATAATTAAATTTATAGAAAGCTGATTGTTATGAATATATAGAATCCGTAGTTTTCTTTTCATAATGATACAAGGGCAAATGGAAAATGTTCTCTCATAAACTGTATAATAAAAACTGGATCATTTATATGTTAGTATAATATCAAGAAAAAGAAAATAAATAAAAGATTCAACATCAAATGAACTGCTATCACAGCAACTTGAACTCATAGCTGATATTCTTTAAATACTATTTTTTGACATCAGAAAGAACCCCTTTTTTTTAATCTACTCATTACAAACATAATTCTACTCATTACAAACTGCCATCACAGCAACTTGAATTCATAGCTGATATTCTTTAAATACTATTTTTTGACATCAGAAAGAACCCCATTTTTTTAATCTACTCATTACAAACATAATTTTGAATCTGAACTAAATTGTCATGAAACTTGCAACTGTCACTGCAGTTAAATAACAATCCATCAATGTACAGTTTCTTTGGCTTTCAATTTTTAAACTCTATGAACATTGCAAAAGTTTGATTCTATTAAATTACTGCTTGTAATTCATACACTGACATATAATTTAATGAAAATAATTATAATTTCTTCTTTCTAAATTATAAAATGAATGACTGTATCTTGATTTAAAATGAAAGAAATTCTGAATTTTCACATAATAAAAACTATCCACATGATTAAACTGTACCAAATCACAACAATTGAAAATTTACATTGTACTCTTTAATCTCAAATTACAGTATGTATAAACATATTATTGTAACACAGCTTAAATTGGTTATAATGAGAATCTAGTTTATCCAACTAAGTGATTGAAAAATTGCAGAGTAATAATTGAACATTAATACATGGAAACAGAGCTTAATATATCATTATGTAATATGTACATGTAAAATAAAAGAAATGAAATTTTAGTGAATTTAAAAAAAAGCTGTTCCAGTCTGCATGAACCATCAAAATATGCATTTTCATCAGTATGCTGAATTAAAAAAATCTGATGTGTGCACGACATGACTTCCTTGTATGGAATATTAAATTATACGCAATTTTTCTTGCATTTCATTTAAACTTACTGGATTGAATTAAATCTACTTCGTCGATAGCGCATAAGCCACAATAGAATAAATGCACTCTTTAAAATTCACTATATTTGCTTACCATTGCGACACTCTGGCACTAGGTTCACTTAACAGCATTATATTTCGTTCATATTATAACTCAGAATGCACAAAATTTATATCATTTGAAGAATTATCTAATCATTGCAACATGTTCTATTCAAATAATATAATAAATCTAAAATGATGTATAAAAGAAATTAAGCACACAAAACAAAAAAGAAACAGTTTTTCGCAGATGACTCCATATTTCTCATTCAATTCATTCAGTTCTCACTTCGTGACAAGGCAGAAAATACATAAAAACTCAAAATATCTACATTAAAAATTTTGAAGTAAATCTTAAACACTTATTTCCTCAAAATTCCAGAAAGGATTAAGCATGATTTAATTCGCAATAATAAATGAAAGCGTTACCTTTGTTGTTGTGAAACTTAGTCTTTCTAGATTGGCAACAAATCTACTATTCTGCTGTTTCAAATGTAAACAAGCATGTCTGTCATGTTATTTAGAAATTAGGCTTAACCGCACTTAAACAGCTTTTAAATTGTTGATAATTCTACAATTATTGCTTGCAGGTTTCCTTAACCGGAAGATAAGAACACCATAATTCAATCATTTTTAAAGCAAAAAAATGCACAATTTACAAACATATAAGAGTAAAGAAACTGAGATCACTCAGCCGGGTAACAGAGTGGATATGTATATAAATATATTTATATATGTTTGGTTCGGCCAATAGCAACCAAAATACGAGGTGCACATCTACATGTTATAGCAGTCCTATATGCAAAATTCAACATTCTGAGGGTACTCGTTTTGGAGTTATGCGAGATATGTACGTATGTACAGACGCCACGAAAAATTCTCTTCAGAATTCATTTTAAAGCAGCTTTATAATTTTTTTGATGGAAAAGAGTCTTTTATTCTGTCCTTACATACAGATGTCACAAAAAACATCGTTAAATTGTATTCGATAGCGGTCAAAATGGATATTTTCATTGAAATATGCTACCTGAAACTTTTCGCGATTACAATACTTCCTTTTTACTTCGTACAAGGAACTAAAAATATCATACTTTTTGTTATTAAAGCTTGGGGGTTAGTTTAGACATGATTTCAAAATGATTTACAAATAATTAGATCACAAAATTAATATTGTAGGTTAAATAATTTTAAAAAATTGCTTAAACTTTACTTAATACTAGTAAACATAATCATATTTCTCAATATGAGTATTTGATTCAGGATATTGTAAGCAATTTACTAAAGTCACTGCCTAAAGCATGTTCAGGTGAAATGTCATTATCTCCCATTTCACCATTAACATCTTTGTCATCTACTTCAAATAAATTATCTTCAATTTTGTGCACAACATGGTTCAGCAAAAGTGATAATATCTAGATAAAAATTAACAAAATACACAGCCTCTTTTTTATCTGGGCTTATCTCGTTGTACTTCAAAAATGAAGAATCATATTTCGATCGTAAGACCACAGCTAAGAAATACCTTGCAACTACATGAAAATGGTTACCATAATTGGGCATCAATGTATAATTTACTGTGCTACTGCCAAGTAGAGCACATGCCCAAATGATGGAAGAAAGAGAAACTATTGCCCAAAAGTGCCGTTTTTTCATACAATACTCTCACCTCTATTTTTCAAAAGGAAGTTGAAAGCTAATTGGCTTTTACTTTTAGCTCATTTGAATCATCTAGTTAAGTTAGATAAACAATTATCCACACTCCTGGCAATATATATATATAGAGAGAGAGAGAGAGCTAAATTTATAGGATAATTTTGAGTTCAATTTATGCAAGTTTTCACTTTTGGGTGAATTTTTGCAGCATAATCTACCTCTTGGCTTATATACAGATAAATTTATACTTAAATAGACAGCAATTGATAAAAAATTCATGGTCTTACTTGCAACATGCCACAGCCATCAGTTTCTATAAGTCCGTCACCTTTTATGACCACAGTTCGGATTCTGCAAGTTGATTTCTCCCATTTAGGCAGATCTTGGAGACACTGGCGATGAAATGTTACAGTTCCACATGGTTCTATAGATCAATAGGTATTAATGCTGTAATTTTTCTATTTCTTTGTTTAAAAACTAAAATTCTTAATACAATTCTTAGCTTCATTACAAATAATAGCAGTGACAGTAATAATAATAATAATTGTTCATTCACATATTTTAATAAACATTATGCATCTTATATAGTGTTTAAAGATTTAACATTATCACAGTTAAGAAACACAAAGCAAAATTATAATTAATACACTTTTACCTGGTTCATACACATTTCTGCACATGAAAATTAGACTTTTAAGACCATTAATGAAAAAAATTAAGGGCCTATAAGTAGAGGGAATTTAATAAATGAAAGCAATTATCGATAACCAAATTTTGCTTTTGTAAAACCATTCTAAGAATAAAATAAATCTGTAAGTTATTATACATTATTATCAAATATAATTTAATAGTTAATATAATTATGCATGTAATTTATGATAATGATTCTAAAACAATATTAGGATAATTATACATAGAAAGCTAAAAAACATAGTATGTTTCATAACAACACTCACAACAAAATATTTATGCATCCTTTTTAATTTAAAAATTTTCCAGATATTTTAGCTCATTTATATCTTCTTTAACATCTTTTCAAAGTTCATTTGTTTCAATAAACAAATCAATGCTCAAATTATTTTCTGCTTCATTCCCTAATTTGTTAATGCTTTAACAATAAACCTTTGAAGAATAATTTTATGTAATCAAATTCTTTCTCAATAGCTTCTTCATTTTAAGATTTCAGATTTAATTGAAGATTTCTGTTATACAAAAGAAGTGCATGTATTTAGAATGTGTAGAAGATATTGCTAATTTCATATCTTTAATATGAGTATTGAGAATAAATGTCAAACAATATAAGGTCAATACAAGGCTGGCACCCAAGCTATTGTGGCAGAATTTTAGAAGTTAGTGTAGCATTGAACAACAAAATTTAAATATTAGGGCAGGACCCATAGAGGAACAGTTCAAAACCCAAAGAGATTGTAGCAAGTGGCAAAATGCCTACCCCTGTGTACAGTTCCATAAGACACACGTGTCAGATGAATCTTTGAAACTGTCAGTTTCTTTAATAACAGAAAATTTCTATCTACAGATGCTGTCTATGTGATAGAGCTGCTTTTGCAATTCCCCACATTGTGTCTAGTGAAAAGATGAGAAAATTAAGTGAAGATAAACATGTCTAAAGAAAGACTTTCTAGGATCAAAAGTAGAAATTTCAAATATTACATGGAAAAAAATTCTTACGAAAAAATATAAAAGAACACAGATGGAATTAATTTTTAAATAATTAAGTAGCCCTTTTGCTTTTGCTGAAAATTGCTTCGGAAGCTGTGTTACATAATATTTGTTACCTTATTTATTTTTCAGAATCAAAATGTTTTTAAGATGCTAAAACGAAAAGTAATCTTAGTATTAAAATCTATTAACGTTGGTCTGTTTGTTTGTTAGTGGCATCATGTCCTCCCGAACAGCGGGGAGTTGAGTTTCGAGAGAGAAAGCCCGGATTCCAAAAATTAGTGGAAAGCTATTTCAACAAACTCTCATATTCGTACAACTTTAACCAGCCAAAATATTAATCAAAAACTCTGAAAACACTAATTTTTACCCTCATTTTTCTGAGTGGCATTAGTCTCGCAAGTTGAACAATAAATATATTATGTTGGATTCCAAAAATTCATGGAAAGTTATTTTCACCATTCTCATCTTTGTACAACTTTAATCAGCTGAGATATTAATTAAAAACTCTGAAAAAGCTCATTTTCACACACATTTTTCCTAGTGGCAACAGTCTCACACACTGGGGATAAAAATCAGCTGTATTTCGAAAAGTGTTGCCACTGCACACTTTCAAATCATAGAATTTGTTAATAAACAATTTGTTAAGTTTTAAAAAATGTGAAATAATAATAGCATTGTCAAACATTAAACATATTATTATTATATAAGTCATATTCTGGCATTGAAGAAAACATGCAGTTGCATTGTATGTGGAAAATTTTTCATTAATGTCAGCATTTTAAATAAATAAATGCTGTTGGTTAGGATAATTAACATGGTATGTTATTGCAATGCTAGGATTTCAGGTTATTCCACGTTAGGAATACAAGTTAGGATAACTGACATGATATGTTATTGCCACATTAATTCTTTCACTGATATTGAAAAAAAGTTGTTATATTACATTAAATTAAATTATGATGTCATCTATAGTAACTTGAAGTGTCCAAAGTTTTTGTTTCCTGGTTTGGCAACAAAAAAAAATTAGTTACGAAAATTGGTTGTTGCTTGGAAAGGATGAACTGATTTCATTCATATTAAAATTTTTTATGCACTTTCTTTTCAAGTGTATATAGAACTCATAAATTTTTCCTTTGATTGCAGCTAACAATTTTGTATACAGTATATTAAATTAGCAATTCATTTTAGTTTTAGTTTTTCAATACATAGAACTTATAAATATTATTTTGGCTGTAGCCAGCTTATTTGGTGGGCTTGCCTGCTAGTATCATTTTAAAATGTGATATGGGAAAATAAAAATGTTTTATTTTAATGCTATTTCTTGATTACAATTCTAACAGATTATCATTATTTTAATTATGTTTATAAATTTTATTATGTTTGGGGGGGAAAATAAGAAAAGAAAAATTCACAAATCTCCAGATCAAAAATTTTGTGCACAAATTGATCTTAATATTGCCAAAATGATAAGCCATTAAATTTAGCACAACATAATAAAAGAAATCATATCTGAAAAAGAAAAAGTTGTTTTTATTTAATATTTCATGAACTCTTTATTCTGAAAAAGGAAATAATTCTGAAACGTAAGTGTTTCAGTAGAGGAAGTGTTACGTGCCCAAAAATTCTGGTATCACAGTGTTTATATTAAGTAGGAAAGAATTCAAATGATAACCCATTCAATATATGTAGGCTATACAGAAAGTAACTTAGTAGTTTTAGAATGAAAAAAAAAAAAAAGGCAAAATTTTCTTATTACTTACATTTGAAAGGCTCATTATTCAGTTATCTTTTTACATAATCTACATATAAATTAAGACATTTATCATAATGGTACACGAGCTTGTTAGTTGCATCGTGATAGAATATTGCTGCCTGGACCTTCAACGATGCATGGACATCGGCATACAGTTCCTCGTCATTGTCGAAGTGCTATGTTGCAAGCTAGGTCTTCATGCATGGAAGCAAGCAGAAATCACTAGGAGCAAGGTCCAGACTGTACGGTGGATGACCAAATAACTCCTATCTGAAACCACCCAAGAGCCATTGAATTTGAATGGCTGTGTGGGGGCGTGCATTGCTTAAGATCATGCATCACAACACCAAACAATAAAGTTTGTGAAATTTGAGGAAACTCTACAGAGAGCTCCGAAATTTAAAGGTGGTGGTTTTCGTGGATATTTTCGTCAATTTTCTCTAACAGTTCATCATTAACGATGCTCAGCCGGCCACTTCACACTTCCTTGTTAACATTAGTGCGGCCATTTTTAATCATGCTGCACCATTGTCTCACTCTATTTTCACTCATTAAGTGTTTCCATACACTGTAAAAATTTCCTGATAAATTTCAATCGGTCTCAGTTTTTTTTAGTCCAAAGGGGCTTTGTCCCTGAAGGACTATTGTTTTCGTTTTGCGATTTTGCGTCGGACTCATAAACGTCGGTTCACTTTTCAAACTGTTGCCACAAAATGTTAGAGTCCTGCATTATATTTGAAGAAATTAAATAATGAAAAATCTGCATAAATGATTGTCTATTTCTCGCATTGTGATAAAACAATGGTACATAGAGCCATCGAATTTTGAATGACGAAATCCTACTGCGAATATGGGCATCTGAAATCCCAAATTTGGAATTTGTTTTATTATAGATTTTATATTTTGTAAAACTTTAACGAATTTTTGATTTATAAACTCAATACTTTAAAAGCGAGAAATGGGAACGTTATATAGAAAAAAAATACTTTTATCTCCAGCTCGCGAGACTGTGTATATCGGAAATTCTAAAGATATGCTTAATTTACATTATTTTGCGATATTGCTCTTGAACTGAATTTTATGGTTTAAGTGCAAAGAACATGATATTTAATAAATAAAGGTAACACTCAAAATGTTAAAAAAACGCCCCTTTGGACGTAATTTAAAATCTGAAACATTTCAGTTTTTTTTTTTTTTTTTGTTTTTTTTGTTTTTTTTTGCGAACAAAAATCTAATCACCAATTGCACTCCACAACTGATGGAAATTTCTATTGTTGCACACATTTTAAATAGTCACAGTGAACAAAGCAGAGGCAAAACATACCGCCAACAATTATAAATGGATGCGTAAGGTTTCAGTAGACATTTTGATACCAAGAAGGGGATGCTAGCGCCATCTCTCACCATGCAGCAGTGAAACATAAGTTATTTTCTGAATAGCCCTCATATATTTGTTAATGAATCACCAAAAAAATATTCTTCAAAGATATTAATTAACACTCAAAATAGCAGTTGTAAAAAACAGACAGAAATGTCAGATGAATAAAATTAAAGGCCTTTTGCTGATTTTGGCCAAAGTTAATGGTTTTTAAGGACAAAAGAAAAGAAGAGAAAAAAAAACGTAGTGCAACTAATTGGTATTGAAAACAATTTTTTGAAAAAAATTATTAATTGCACTATGATTTTATGAATTTCCTTAACATTTTACTTTTCTTATTTGTTTTGTATATATACATGCTGCAGAGATCCCCACTGTTGTAGTTGCTATTAACTCTCTGCAAGTTTTTACCAATCTCTCCAATATTTTGAAAACTTTACAATTGCATTTACCATATTAGGTTAGATTATTTGAATATGAAAAGCTCACAAGGTAAGGAATCCCTTCATGGAAAATTTTATAAAGAAACTGGTTTGTATTTATATTGCACATAAAAAAACCCATGACAACCAACCATATAGCCAGCCTGTTTGTGTGGTTCAAACCCGGGAAGAACTACCAGCATGTCTGCGGTTTGGTTGCATTAAATGTGGATTTTTTTTTTTTTTTTTTTTTTTTTTTTTTTTTTTTTTTTTTTTGTAAATATAAGGAAGCATTCAAGGACAGAATCTAAGGAGATGCAGGGATTGCACTGGCTTGCAAAAAGCCCAAGTTCAACTCTGGCTACTATCAATCAGTGGTCTTAACCACTCAGCCATTGGTACAGTCCAAAAGTGATATTATTTCATAATTCTCCTTCATTGTTCTCAGTTTCCTTAATTCTCCAAAGAAACACGCAATCCATTACAAGATGTTGTTTAATTCCTACACAATTAATTCTGCTGTGCCTCCTTCAGTTCTTTCAATGATTTAGCCTCCTGATTAAACAAATGTTCAAAGAAACACTATGACATGTATTCAGCTTAGTTCACTTAGAACTCCACCTCCTTTCTTAATAGAATTTTGCTTTGGAACGTTAGGCTACAAGTGTTTCTCCTCGACTTTTATGGGGGGGGGGAGGATTTTTCACTAAATTTCTCTAATTTCCAGATGTGTTAAAACTTGTTTTTATGTTCCTAAGCATAAAAATAATATTCTTTTATAATTAATTTAGGTTCCAAATATTGTCAAATAATTTCACCTCTGCTTTACCAAACTACTGATTGAATGTTGTATTACCAGCTTTGTATATAATATGTCAATAAATGTATATCAAATAATTATATGTATAAAATGAGTGACAAATGATAGTTTACATACCTTTTGCAGTTATTCTTCTGAAGTAATTAATAAGGCATTTTAATTTTTCAGTATTTTTTGAAGGAACGTTGTCTTTTGTTCCATAGAAAAGTCTGTGAAGAAAAAATAAAAACACTATTCTACTGTACTGAAAAATTTTTTAATGTTGTGTACGTCCATTTAGATACTTAAAAATTTATATACTTGATTTGCTTAATTTATTATGCAAGCAAAATGTTTAACCCTTTCCGGCACGCTACCCTTTAAAGGTGGAATTTTGACAAAAAAAGTGGTAGGCAGTCTAATCACGCCTAAATGAGTACACAGGTAAAATTGTGTAAAGATAGCACTTACCATTTTAATTCTGTGGGTGTGCCCAGAGCAAGCTCACTGAGAGCTTCGAAAAGAATGTTGAAGCGAGCATTGCTGGGAAGAGCGTAATAGAATAAAAGATTTTGCCTACGATTAAAAAGCACTATATTCTGACTACCGTAGCAGATTTAGCATTACCCAGGGTGTGCCACAGGAAGGCCTACTACTCTACCCCCTCCAAAAAAAGCTCTTCTTGGTAATATGATGATTACATGCATATAAGTGAAGGAAAAAAAAAGTAACTTGGGTATATTTACATTTCATATTTACACTTTCGTCTAATTTTTTTTTTTTTTTTTTTTTTTTTTTTTTTTCCCCCATGGTGGTACTTTTCAAAGAAAGTTACACCAACTTTGAAAAAGCACAACCCAACATTGCATGTTTTGCACATGTACCGGGATCCGTACCAGATTCACTATCTGAAGACAATTCGTGTAGCACTTTTAGTGCTTCAGAAATGGTCAGTCCTCTCAGATCAATTTGCAAAATAATTAAAAATCAGAAGAAAAAAAGATGAACTAATATTATATCTACAGCTAGAAAATGTAAACTATAAAATAAAATTAAATAAACGTCTACAACTCAAAACAAATCTTCTAACAAAACTTCTTTGAACAAAAGTGAAAGAGAAAAAGAGAACTGCTCTAGTGAAAAACCAAACAGCTAACTGATAAAATTACCCCTGACCTTCAGAAAATCATCCTCAACAATTTCTTGATAACCAAATCTCCCCCTCCTCCCCCCAAAAGGAAATGAAATACAGATATGCACCCAACTTTCTATTGTGAATGAGCCTTCTAGAGCTGCAGTGAAACAAAAATACAGTTGTTGGTCTAGTCCTAATGTCTCAGTGATCCCACTCTGGGTACACCTGATGTTTGCCGTTCAATTTTAGGCAACTTTTCAAGGTAATAACTTAAAACTAATATAGAATAAGGAGGTTAGCATATAGCCAAGAAAATAATATAGGAATTTCTTTTCGAATAATTCTTTTTATATATTAAAAAAATCTGGAAGATTTCTTTGAAAAATGTGGGTCTTTAAAAACTACATGTGGCTAAAATATAGGGACTGGTTTGTAATGTGCTGCCATCTAGTATAAATAAAGAAGGTTCGGAGTAACCTATACTAACCTATAAATCCTTTTTCATTCAATTTTTCTGTGTGTACAGAGGGAGACTCACTGCTGCAAAGGGCTACAGCTAGCAAAGTGCTTAAAAAACTCCATTACGCAAATTACACTTTTATAGAAGAATTTTTTCAAACTTTCTTTCATTCATATTTACTCTACAGAAAGGAAATAATAAAAATTTATACAAGTGGCTCACTTTGCTTGGGCAAAAGTAGTACAAAATCATATTTTCAATAATTACATTCCCTAGGATAGTGATGACAATAAAAAATACTGATATTTTATTCACTAACTGAGACATAACTTGTTCACATCTTAAAAAAATATTCAGATATTTTTACTCAAGAATTTTAAAAAATATTTTTTATCATAAACTATCAGCATTAAAAGCATAGGTTGTAATTTCTTATTCCAATCATTATTCTGCTTCCTATTCTGATACGCATAATCACTTAAATCCTTACTGGATGTTCACCTATGTTTTTAATAGATTGACTACTGCATCAGATTATTCAAAAAGATTTAAAGTTTTATTCAAAAAGACTTTTTATAAAAGAACTATCCTCTGTTTATCTCAATTTAGAAAAATTTAGTTTGATATCCAGGAAAATATAAAAAATTCAACATGTTTTGCAAAAATAAACAAAAATTGTATTCAGTTCCAATACATTTAAAATGGACATTTTAAATGCATGAGATATAAAAAATGCCTCATACTTTAAAAAAGAAATGCATAAGAAACCCTGTTAAAATAACCTAAGACAATAGAATATTCTTTCAAGTATCAACATAATAAATGTCATATTCTTAAATTTTAATATAGAACTTGAGTAAAACATCCCTTTTCAAAGATATTTAGTGTAATGTTTAATTATTGCTCCTATTCCTTATAGTTATTTCAACAATAAATTTATAATTTTTTTTGTATTAATTTTAAAAAAATCATTGAAATAAAAGTCATTCCTCTTTATAATTAAATGTGGCATCCTGGTTTTAATGAATTTAGAGAGTTAAATTCAGTTTTAAATACAATCTTACACAGTATAAACAAATAATGGTTATTACAATTACCTATTAAAATTTATATCTGGATAAGTAGCATATTCACAATTCCACCTTTCTTTTTTATATCTTCCAGGAAGAGTTCGACGTGGGAAAGTGCAAAAGAATGCATTTAGTAAGAGGCAACCAATTTGTTTCTGGGACATAGTAACCGAATGGTCCGTATCTTTCTTCAGTAATGGTACTGGCTACACAGTTAAAGAAATTGCAAAGACCATAATATAATAAGACTAAACGAAATAATAATATTTTATCAATAGCATATTTATTTAAATAAATTACAATTATGAAAATTAATTCATGCACTCAAAAAAAAGGGAGGCACCTATCTATTAAGTCATTCAAAATGTTTTCATACATTTTTATGAGCATATGGCAACACAACAAACAGATAAAAAGAGTAACTTTACAATCAAAGTAGCTTTATTCACACTATGTGGTACACTATCAAGATTTTCGGGTACAAAAAATACCACACTAGTAAAACACTGTATTCAGATGTGGGAAAAGTTCAGCAACTTTTGAAAACTCAGTTTTTAAAGAGCTGGTTGCAGAACTTAATACAATATATCCATTAAATCCAATGAAGAAGAGAGTAACATGTAGTTAAACTACCATGGGAATAGAAAAGATGAAGCAAAATCTCTAAAATAATGTGCTTTATATTAGCATGAATCTCTAAAGATGTGTGAAATCTTGTACTGCATTTTTTAAAACAATTTGGTGTGTCCATTCCTACAGCAGACCACAATATACAGATGCAGGGATAATATGAAAATACTTTAGCAGTTCATAATAAACTACAAACTTTGATACTACTCCCAAAATGCAAGTAAAAGATTTCTTGGGATAAAGGTTTTGTAGAAATCTTTAGAACAGGTTGTCCTGATTAACCTTTGATAAAATAAGTAAGCATTGTTACAGAGAAATTATTTTTATTGCAGAGGACAATGCAATCGAACAAAAACAATAATGGTTTCCCTTTCATTTTGCTGCAGCAATAAAGAACAGCTCCCTAAACATTGTATTTGGTTCAAAAAATGTGAGCTACAAATAATCATTTATCCTCTTTTTTTTCATTGCTTGTTTGTTAACTTTACTGCATGGCGAATTAGTTACTTATAGAAGTGTGGAAAGCACCACAGTGTCACTGTAAATAACCTGAGACTGCCTCTCAGCCTTAAAAGGGCCTCAATCCTTGCCTTGCTAATTTTAGAAGTCCTGCTTTTTCTTACTACATGATCAAAACAATCACTTATAGAAGGGTGCTGCTCACTCATCTAAATGGCAAGGCCTCAGTATGAAAATTAATGCATTACATGTATATAATCACTTTAATTAATTTTACTAAAATTTACATGAACATTATTATAGAAATAAAGAATATTCTTAGATATGACAGTGATAAAAACTTCGTGAAATTTCAGACACTCTACAGAAGCCAAAATCCACTGCGAGTGATGTAACCGTGAAATGGAAACATCAAGGCAGTGAAACTGCAGAAAAAGAAGTAAGCAGGCCAAAAAATATTAGTGTACGCACCTATAGCCTGAAAATGGCAGTGAAACAAAATCACAAGTCTTCATTGGTTGAAATCACTCAGGAGGTCTAGGACAGTTTGTGGAGAGTTAAAAAACCTGGGATTCCATGGTCGTGCAGCCTCTCACAAGCCGAACATCACTCCCCAGAATGCAAAGCATTGATTGCAATGGTGCAAAGCTGTCATTGGACTGTGAATACGTGGAAAAATGTTCTTTGTGGTGATAAATCTCTCTTTACAATCTAGCAGTTGATTGGAAAACTCTGAATTTGGGGGATGCCCAGCAAACACTGCTTAAGTGACTGCATTGTGCTAACTGTAAAGTTTGGTGGTGGCAGCATCATGATGTGGGGATGTTTTTCATGGTTTGGCCTGAGTCCCTTAATTCCTGTGGTTGGAAACATGAACTCTGAGATGTATGTGGTCTGGTTATGTCAGATCTGGTCTGATGTATCTCAGATCTTGGTTAACATTCAACAGCTCTTTTTCTTTCACAAAATTTTGCACATCAAAAAATGTTTTTCTAGTTCACAAGGTATTGGTGACCATGTGTCTAAAAGATCCACTGGTCATCGAAATTAAAGGATAAAAAGAAAAACGTATGCTCACTAAGTTAATGCTACAGCCAATTCCCAATGCTGCTATTATTTATGTTAATTAAGTACAACTGAACACAAAATTACACGTCCACATATATGCTAGTGCCAAAAATATGTAAATTTGCTGATTGACAATGTGGTGTGCAATATATGCATGTTGGAATTCCAGCCTGTAGATTGTTTAAAATGAATTTGGTTTCTGAGAGTGATCAGGATTCAGTAGTTATGGCTCAAAGGCTTCATTTAAGTGAAGGTCAAAAACGGCAAATATTGGCAGAATCGAGGGAGGTCAAACACAAATGGAGGTTGCCTAATACTCGAATAACTCTCAAAGTGTCATATCAATAGTCTGGAGCCCCTTTTTAAGCACTGGATCAGTTGACAGACAGCCTGGTCAAGGGTGATCAAAGCAACAATTGAATCAGAAGACCATTTTCTGTTGTTGGCTCAAAGGAAACATGAAGCAACTACAAGAGATTTGGTTTTAGATCTTCAGGCTGCCACAGGAAATCGAATTAGCCATTCTGCAGCACGAAGGCTTAACGTGGTTGGACTGTATGCAAGAAAACCAATGGCTTGGGTTGCATTTACTCCAGCTTTCAGAGGGGCCCATTTAAACTGATGCTGCCATCATGTTCAATGGAGCCAAGACCACTGGGCCCAAGTACTGTTTAATGACGAGCCCAGATATTGTCTGAACAATGATTCTAGATATGTTTTGATCTGGAGAGAGGAAGGAATATGCAACTTGCATTCCTTTGTCCATGAAATATCCTGCTTTTGCAAACACAGTTTAATAGTTTAAAGAGGAATCAACAACAGATGGCTGCACCGAGTGGCATATCTTTCAAGGTTCTGTGACTGCTCAGAGATATATGGATGAAGTATTGGGACCCCAAGTTAGACTGTTTTTAAGAGTGCTGTTGGTCCAGTTTTTGGTAATGGATGACAGTGCTCGACCTCATCAAGCATATGTGATGTCACAATACTTGCAAACAGAAGATATCACTTGAAGGGATTGGCCACCTTATTCACCTGAATCAGCAAGTTTGAGATGCCTTGGGCACCGAATTTCAGCATGCCAAATTCCTCCGAAGACCCTCTAGGAGCTGAAAAGTGCACTTTTAGACGAGTGGCTTATAATTCCACAACATTGGATCAATATTTTGGTAAATGATATTATGAAACTTTGATATTATGAAATCAAGAAATGAGTTATGCATATCTGTCAGAGTTGGCCATACACCATATCGAGAAAAAAAGTTCTTCTACAACAGGTGACTTAATTTTTCCTCATTTCCCAGTTTCCATAAATTTGGTTTTAATTTCAATATTTTTCAAATAATCAACTGCCAAACATTGTAATTTATGTTAACTAATGCTTTTGTATAAATTTTTGTTTGTAATTTTTCATTAAATATCAGTTACATTTTATTTCTGTCATTATCGTATAATTTTGATGACCAATGCATTTTGAGTAATTGCATTTGTAGTTTGAATTTAAAAAAAGGCACTCTTAATTTCTTATTCTCACCATTCAGAAGTTACATCCTTATTTAAACCTGAAGTATTTTAAAGCTTTAAACTTCTCTCTGATTCATTTATGTATAAGTACAATTTGTAAAAGAAAACAGTCAGCTTCAAATGGAGTATTGTAATGCTCACACAGTTTTCTAAACTACATTATAGTAATAGCTAAATTATCCATTTGACCACACATAGGTCACTTTTTATGGTTTTGAGAATCCTGCAGAAATAATTACCAAATAAATTTCTTATGTCATGTAGAGGGAACATTCTGCTGCAGTGTGTGGCTTTATGAGCAGCTATTTGGTTAGAGACCATTTTATCATTAGATTCAGCTCCTATTCAGTGTGGAACTCAATATTCTGCGTATTTCTGTAACATAATTTCTTTAAAACAGAATTAAAATATTTGCATTGCTTTTTTGTGATATCTTCTCTCATTCAAGCTACAATTTACAAATGTTTAAATAAATTCAGGAGGGAATGATACTTTTTATAAAATGAAGACCGCACTGTTTGAACTGATTAAGCCATTGTTAAAAGAAGGCAATCATTAACTTGTGTTTAAATTCAAAATATTCTAAATATTGGATCAGCAACTTTTTGAAATATTATTTCACAAAAAACTTATTGTGAAGAAGCTCTGCAGTTACTAGATTCTTCATTGTCCAATGTGAAGGCAAGCCCTCACAAACAAAAACAGACTTACATGTACAAAATGCTTCAAAGATCTGAATGAAGGACATTCAAAAGTGATTTTTTGATTAATTGTGATTCTATCAGTATGAACCATAAATTAAAATAAAATTGGTTTTCCAGTCATGATCATTTCTGTCAAGAGAAGATGAAATCTCTGAAAGAAATTGATTTTTCTTGTTTGTAGGAGATAGTCAAAAGTATTAGAAAATGAAGCAACATTCAGTGTCAAATGATATATCATAAAATATTATAAAATAAAAATGGCAATGATATATCTAAAAGTTTTAAATTAGAATCAGACAACCAGAACTACAATGTGAGAAAAACCTACTGCATCATGATAATGCAACAGCTCAGTCAAACAGAACAGAGTTTCGAAGAGATTCGAGTTACCGGCTATAGTCCTTACAGGACAGATCTATCTCTTTGTTACTTCTTATTTCTTAAAGCCACGGAATTAAGCTCCAACAGAAATCTGACTAACCTGGAAAAGTTATGCTGATTTATAGGGAATCTGTGGATGATATTCCAAAGGAAGAATGGGAGTAGTATTCAATAATAGGCTTTAAATGAGAAGCTGTACTCAACAAGAAAATGTAGTAAGTATTTCAAGAAAATGCAATAAGAATTACTTTGATATTTATCTTGTTTTAATATGAAGTATTAAAATTTCTTAGTGATTCACATATTATTATAAAATACAGAATCCATTAGCTTTTAGAGTATAGATGCATTTTTTTCAGTTTTTAATGACCCATCTTTCCAAAATACTCTGAACTCCAGTTTCATGAATGAAACTGCAACTCAAAAGCATGCATAAGATGCTACAGGATCAACATTGGCATCAAACGACATCAGTTTCTCTACACCATAAAAAAATAAAATACTGCACTGAATGAATGCTGATATTATTTTATGCCTCCTAAAATTAGTTTCAGCCGTTATCTGTGGCAATGTTACATGTTAGTCAGCTGCTGCAATGCATACTAATTTACACCATCCCTGATTCTCCTGTTTCCATCAACTGCACTAAAATCATACTCTGATGTCTTTCCTGATATTGCATAGCCACAACACACCACCTTCAAAACCATGTCACATAAACATGATTATATTAACATATCTTTACTGATTTTGAAGGTTATTTTCCAGATACTTGCTACTAAATCTCATTCAATTCATTTAAATACTATTAGATGTAATTAATATTCATTTAAATGTTATACTGTTATGTGTTGCCATGTTTATTATACAATAGCACAAATACCTGTTCTATATGTGATATCAAAAACATTATTTATAGTGGGGGTATACCAATACGTGATAGGAACAGTTAGCATTATTCATTATAGCAATGTGTTAGAGGCTAATCTGCTTTAAAAGTAATACTTTTTTTGGAAAATCTTCTAAGGAAAACTGACTTGAAAAAAACCATTGACATCTCATGCAGCCATCAGTCATTAGGTACTGAAGCTTATAAAACTAACAGCATTCAATAGTTTAGCCTCTACAAGCATTATACTGAAGATGAAAATGACCATCTCAGTTTCCTTATTGGAGAAATTATAATAGACTAATATAAAAATTTCTATATTAAGAAAGTTATTAATTTATTACGTAAGATAGCATATAAATAAATATTGATTATCTCACACAATTAATTAATAATAATTTCCTATTACCTTATATAATTAATTAATCTATAAATATTTTAAATTATCTAATATAGAGAAAATTAAAATTATAATGTAAAGATACATTACCTGCGTGCAAATATATGGAAGATTTAATGCCATATCAATCATTACTGGCAATACTGTTTCAAAAAAATGGCTTCTTTCTGCAGCTGAAAGGCACTAAATAAAAGGGTAAAAAATGAATATTTACAGTGGACATGGCATAGATACTTAAAGATCACTACATGGCAAGATTTAGATTCACTGCATAGCAAATTTGGAAACAATGAAATATTTATTTCTATGTAATTAACATTCATAGTCAAAACAAACATAATTAAAAAAGATGAGTTTATGACCAAAAACGTTCACTTTCATTCAATAAATCAAGATAATGAAATCATTCCATAGGAATGAAACTAAAAAAACAAATGTCTCAATTAGTGCACCAAATTAATTTCTTTCTCAAAATTTCTTAACTTCATCTTTTCTCCTAATATCTAATTCTCACATTATCATTAATATTCCCTTTATCAAAACGTGTAATAATAAATCAATACAAATAAAAATCAAATTGAATTGCAAGAAGAAATACCATAAAACTCATGGATAAGCTATAAAAAATTTTGAGCTCTATGAAAAAAAATTTAAGAGTAATAAAAATATATGAGACTAAATATTTCACTAATATGTTTAAATTGCAAGGAGACACACAGAGATGAAATTTGAAAAATACAGTTTCCATTAAACTCTTGGGAAATGGAGTCAAGTGTAGTTAGCAATAAGGGAAAATAATTAAATTGAGATTATTTTTAACTGAAATACAAGATCACGAGATGAGTTTTCAGTAAATCTGATTTTCCAGAATTCAGATGATAAAACAGTCTTCAGAGAGTAAGCAATATATATTATCAGCATAAAAAATAAATAAATAAATAAATAAATGTGTACTTAAGTTTGCTTGTAACTACTGTATACAGAGTGTCCCGTAAATGTTGCAACAACTTCTGGGGGAGGTAGGGCACATCATAAGGATTAAGAATTACACAGGGAACCCATACCCTGAAATGTAATGGACGAGCTGCTGCACGCATTTATTGAGAATGTTTTCCCAACAAACATCAACCACACCACAGTTTGTTTGAATGTCTACACCAAAATTTGAGCCACCAAGGTTCATTAAGAAATGGCAGGGCAAGTGAGGGTAGGCCACGATAAAGTCGCTCGGCTGTTAGAGAAGAAAGTGTGTTAGATACGGTGGAGAGTACTCTAAGGACCAGCATATGTGCCATTGCCTCTCAATTAAGAAAATCTCATACCAGTGTCCAGCGTATCTTCATTGCAGAGTTTTCCCACGCCTTTCATCTCCAAAGGGTTCAGTTTGAAGTTTGAATGTGTGCGTTTCGCACAGTGGTTTGTGCAAGAAAGTGCCAGTGATGTTAATTTCCCAGCTTACATGTTGTCAGCAGATGAGGCCATATTCAATAGGAATGGCGTATTCAATCACCACAATCAGCATTTTATGGCTGAAGAACATCCCCCCCCCAATGTGCGACACCACGTGGCAAGCAATGCTTCAAAGTTAATGTGTGGGCGCCTGCTTATTTTGGACTGGATGTTCATAGCCATTTGAACAGACCATTCCCACACTGATGGATTGGGCGTAGTGGACCCACTCCCTCGCTCCCATGCTCACTGGATTTATCGAGCCTCGATTTCTTTTTGTTGGCAGCCATCGCAAGTTCCGTGTATCACGATCCTGTTGTGTCTGAAATGGATCTCGTGGCAAGACTCGCCTGTGCAGCTGCTACAATTAAAGAAACTCCTGCTGTGGTTGAATATGTCAGGCAATCAATAGTCTGTCAGTGTCAGGCATGTTTGGCATCTGATGGTGCAAACTTCAAGCATCTGTTGTAACATTCAAGCTGTCGTACACCATTTGTTTTCATGACCAATAAATGTTTCAATTTAACATGTTCCCACTGGGGCCAATTTTTATGTTCTTCGCCATGAGACGGTGCTTGAATTTTTGCTGCGTTTCATCTGCGGCGTGAGATTATTACCTGTTCAGATCTCTATATGAGTTGTACGTTTGCTAATAGTTATTAATTATAATTGTTATTTAAAAAGTTTTTATAATAAATAAACGTTAATTCTTCATCATTTTATTGGGTGGCGTAATAGTAAACATTAAATTTTCATTATTTTATTGGCTTATTGGGCGGGGTGGGGCCCCAAGACAGACAAGTGCGGGCCACCGGTGGTACATGCCGCCCGATGAGACACATCAGTGTGGGCCACCGGTGGCCCGTGCTGGCGTGAACATGTTAATCACCCTTTTGTTTCCTTTCCCATCTTCTACCTCTGTTACTACTTACCCCTGACATTTCTGGGCACTTACTGACATTTCTGGGCATGTGTTCCTATGCAATTCTTAATCCTAAGATGTGTCCTACCTCCCCCAGAAGTTTATCGCAATATTTATGGGATGCCCTGTACTGCATAATGTACAAATAATTCAAAGCTACAACTAAAACTATACAAAGTACAATACAGATCACAGAATTCAATAAACATAATGCAGTACATTCTATGTACAAAACAGAATTGCAAGATGAAAAAATATACAACAGAAAGGTAAAATACAAATCATACACTGGTGAGATAATTATGTACAAAATAATTACAAGACTGCAACAGTTTACATAACAAAGCTGTGATCAACATTCTGAAAACAGTCTACCTATAAGGCTTCATGAATGATAAACTTTTTATATTTTGTTCAACAGCAATACTTGCCTGCTTGATTAAATTCATTTTGGCATGTAATGAGTCTAAATTTTATCGAAACTCATTATTCAAACTCCTCCATTTGACTAATGTGCTTCGGTAAAACTTGGAAATATCCATTAAAGCCATTTTTAACATTAATAATAAAATATTTTTTATATAATTAACTCTATTACATAATTATAAAAGCTATTATGGTCTACAGTCATACAAATATAAAAGCTTAATACTATTCATTTCACTGAGTTCATCATTAAAATGTTTTCTTACAAATACTTAAAATTAATAAATTATTTTTGACCTAAAATTTATAACTCAGACATAACTCTGACTTGCAAAAATTGAATCATACTATACCTATATATCATATATGAAATTATTTACATGTTATAATTTATTAAAAGTAATATTTAGTTTTTTACCACATTAAAAAAAGTATGCAAGCCTTTAAAATTCCATCTTCCAATATACTGGCTGTTATACTTCATAATTGCATTCTAAAAATAAATAAAATTATTAAAATTCATAATAAATAAACTAATTAGAGAAAAACAATATCCTTTACATAATAAAGCATTAATTGATTATCTCGCACAATAACACATTTACCTCTAAGTCTAATGAGCATTCTATATTTCTTCTCAAACTCCGACATATTACATCCCACCTGCTTTGTATTTGTTTCCCACCATTCTAAAAGAAAACAGGTTTAGATAGAATTATTAATGAAATTTTTATATATAATGAGTTCTTTCTTATAGGGGAAAAATCATTATTATGTACAGAAACTAAAGTTAAAAAAAGAGTAATTTTTTGGGTAAATACAGCAGTATTTCATCAATGGAAAATTTAATATCCATAAGTAAATTAATTAGAAAGTAAGTTAAAATTTAATATCATAATTAAAATTAAATAATTAATTAAAAATTAAGTAATTAATTAAAATTCATAAATAACCTTATGGGGGGAAATTATTATTATGTGCAGCAACTAGATTTAAATAAAGATTCATTTTTTTGGTAACTATAGCATATTTCAATGGAAAACATAATGTCCATAAGTAAATTAAAAATTCAGAATACACATATACATTGAAAACAGCAATTTTAACTCAAAAAGCAAATTTTTTGTACTTTTAATTTATCATGAAATGATACTTCATACTTTCAAAAGCAATTTTATTTTTTCCTTCTATGATGATCAAAACATGAGTTATAAACTTATTTAAAAAAAGGAAAAACAAATATATTGAAGTGCAAGTATTTAATTTCCTTTGACGTAAAAAAGTTACTTCTCTTTAAAAACAAAATTATTTTAATTTTAATTTATTGAATTTAAAAATATTTTACAAGATTAGTTTCTAAGCTAATTATTGCAAATTGATTTAGTTACAATATTTTTCAAAACGAATCTGAAAATACATCTCCATAAAAATACAATATTTATAACCTACAAATCATCTAATTTTTCAATTTTCAATCGTTTAATTTTTTGGAAGGACCTTTTCAATATTAATTTACTTATATTTAATTTATTTTGCATAAAGTAATAAAAGGAAATTAGTCTGACTTCATTTTGTTTTAGATAAAAATATAAAAGATAGATGTCGTCCAGATCAATTATGAAAAAATGTCACAAAGATTCAAAAGGGAAAAAAAAAAAAAAAAAAAAAAAAAAATTCTACAGATTCAAAGGATATAACTCATCTGCCTAGTGAATTTTAATTGTCTCATAATTTCAGAGCTTGAAAATTTCATTTTTAAATTTTCAAATTCAGTTTTCACAAAGGTTGATTCCTGACTGGACTAATTTATATTATCTAAAAAAATGAATAAAATATTCAACACTTTTTTTGTTATGATCCTGTGAATGTAACTAACACTAAAAGATCTCTAGGCCTCTTAAACTGAAATTTTTTGGGGGCTGATTTACAGAAATTACCGTATTAAATAACTGATGACAATTGATTGCTTGCTCAGAGGTATAACTATAATATAAAACTTCAAAAAATAAAAAACTACTAGAGATTTTTTTTTAGCTAAGGCCTGTTAATATCTGGTATATTCAGTACATTTTATTCAATTTACTGATTTGTAAACATTAAAAATACACTGGTTTCCAAAAATTAAGAAAAATAAAAAATAAATAAATAAATAAATAAATAAATAAATAAATAAAAAAGAAATAACTTGTTCACAAGCGAATTCATAAAAAATTTGAATAAGTTATTAAATAAGACTTGTAACGGTAAAACTGCAGTATGCAAATTAGTGGTGCAGCAATTGGAATATGTCATCTGCGAGGAGCATAAAACGAGGATTCAGTGCATAGAGTAGACAGCTCAATAACCAGACCTGAATCCTATTGAACATGTGTGCAATGTTTTTAGAAGATGTATAGCTACTCTCAATTCTCCTCTTCAGACCCTTGCCACTGCTTTTTGAGAGCAACGGCTCTCACTTCCTATGGAACTGACAGACTGCATAATTGAGAGCATCACACAGCACTGCATGTGCTGTATTGCTTCTACAGGAGACTCCATACTGGTGGCAATTTTCCTGTACCAAAATGGCACATATCATTAGTTCATTTCATACATATGCAAATTTCTATAACACCATAATTACCTGGTAATTTCTTTTCATGTTTTTTATATCTTGTATATTGTGGGTCAGTTTCATTAAATTTTACATGTAACATTTTCAGTAATCATCATTTTTGTGATTATTCCTTTATTAATGATAACCAGAGTATATCAAAAGTAAATCTACTTACAAATTGTTTAGAGAGCTCAAAATTATATATATATATATGTTTACACATTTATTAACATTTTTGAAAAATAAGCTTCCAATATACAGCTCTGCTATAAATAAAATTCATATAGAAATTTAGAAATTTACATACCAAACTCTCCACTGGATATCTATTTTGAGGGGAACATGGCATACGGATATGATCAGAATCCCATTTATCCCTGTAAGTGTTAGGATAAGGTCGAGGGGCATCACCATCACGAATATGTGGCTTCAATAATACATCAAATTCATGATTAGCACACAGTTTAATGCACTTAAGATGGAAATTTAATAAATGAAACATTCATATTTGCATAAGATTCAATGCATATAAAAACAACTGAAACACTGACCTTTGTGTAAAATACATTGCATATGTGAATTTATATATACATGAATTCATGCACATACGAAGAATGTTTACACATTTTTAGAATAATTTTGGGAATGCTTAATTAATATTTAAAACACAAACAGTTTTAAGTGTTCGATCAGACAGCCCTTTTTATGGACTATAAATCTGCATTGCAATTTATATGATGGAAGAGCTCTTCATAAAATTTCCAGGGATATTGATTTCCATTCCTCTTCCGCTACTTTCCAGAATCCATCCATCCTTTCCAGTTCCATGGTGGGTTGACACTTAAAAAGGAGCTCTTTTCAAGACACCTCTTTTTTTTTTTTTTTTTTTTTTTTTTTTTCCCAAGGAATACAATGATACTTTTCGGAGTAGGGCTTCTTGCTTTGTCTTGATGAAGTCTTTGAAAACTGAGATAAAGGAATGGAATTTCATCTCCAAATATTGGACACAAAACTTCTCTTGGTAATATGTTGAGTTGATTTTAACATCTTATTTTTAATTTCCTGATGCAAGACAATCCTGCAACAATCATAAACCCCTTACTCAAATTTTCTTATAATTGACAGAACCAAGTCTGTACATTTTCTCTTTAATTTTCAATAATAAATAGACTTTTTTGTTGCAGTCATTCAGGTAAACCCATACTTCATCAAGGGTTACAATGGATGTTTCATTTATCTCCTGCTAAGTAGTTTCATAGAGTTCTAGAAATTGTTCTGCATTGAACCACATGTTCAATGCAAAAGCTGGAGAACATTATGTCTTTTAGCTTTTTTAAAATTGTAAATCTTGTTTTATTATTTTATTATTGTTGCTACACATGTATTTAAAGACTCTGCAATTAATTTCTGCATCAGCGAATTTTCTCGTTACCAACTTTAGAAACATTAGAAAGATTGCATACCCTTTTCGGGTATTTCTTTGGAGTCTTCATTTTATGCAAATGTAATGGTTGACAGTTTTCCCTTTCTGATTAATAATGTTGCTTATTTTGCAACTTAGAAATTTTAAAACAATGCATTTTACAGTTTTTGAATTATGGTATAGGAATATTTCTCTTTGGAAAGCGCAGAAACATACGTATCTTTCAATCCACAACTTGTTTACATGCAATATCTTGAAAAAAAAGTAAGTTTAAAAGTAGCAGATACTATTTTTCCTTTCAAATAATTAGCTGCGACCAAAAATTTTTATTCCAAAACATTTGCTTTTTAAAATTTTGTTTGTCAAAATCATTCTTAAAATGTGTAAACACCTTCTGTATAAATAAATTCAATGCATGTTTATTTAGGGGAAAAATTCCCATATTATAAAATAAACATCTTATTCTACAGAATGATATAAATATCACTAGATCTAAACAATTTAAAGAACAAGTGAAGGACTTTCAAATGATGTGGTTTGTATTAATATTTATGCTATAAATTAAGATGTGATTTGCATCAATATTTATGCTATGAATTAAGATGTGGTTTGCATCAAAATTCATCTCATGAATTAAAAATTTTTATGGCATGGAAGAAAAATTCAGAATTTCTCTATAAATGATCCAACATACTCAGAAACATAGATCTACCTTCATAAGAAGTTATCCATTAATGAAGTTTTAATTTTTTGTTATAGTTTACGTTTGCAGATTTTATGAGTTGCTGTACATTGAGTTGGCTCATAAAGCATGTTGATGAAACTATCTGACCACATAAAGTGTTGTTTTAGCTTCCAGGGATATTGATGATACGACAGTTTCATATGCAGAAACAGATAAAAATAAAGCTAGGCTCAGTGAATGTGCCCAATACACTGTGTGCTTGACAGTCAAAACTGCTGTTTAATCAAGAAACAGTACACTATTTAAGCAAATGTTTCACGTTTCTTGTCATTATATGTCCTCTAGTCTTTAGATGCACATGAATTTTTCAGATGAAATTCATATTTTTTTAAGCTCTCAAGAACATTCAAATTCATGGCATTAATTCCCCCACAAAGCTTGTCTTTCTGAGGAAATTTGTTCATTTTTTTATGAATTTTAAAAAAGTCTATTAACATTTAATTTGTGCTGTGTTAAAATACATACCTTGTAAAAATGAAAAACTTTTCAATGGTCTGATAAAAATAAACAAAACATAATATTTGAATATTACAAAAATAAATATTTTACTTACTGAGAACATTATAATGTGGTTTTCTAAAGGCTCTAGATTAGGTAGTGGTAAATTACATTCTGGACTTCGATTTAAAAAAGACAACTGCACCTTAAAGATCAGTGTAACTTAGAATTAATATATTATACACAACAATATAATTAAAAGCAAATATATATACATACTTAATACGGGGAGGGAATTGTGAAAAACACTTACATGTTCATCATTTGAATTAAACATTTCAAATATTTATATACTTTACACAATATTTAACACATGAACTCATATTGCTAAGGGAAATAAAATTAAGGCAAAATACAACAGCTATTTATTGCACAGAATTTATTCTGTTGCCAACTCAGGGGCATCGTCTTAAGAGCATGTGATGCAAGCCTATATATTTGAAATAGCAGGGGGGAAAGGAATTATTATTTTTTAACACAATTAAATAATAAAACCTTTATTAATCACTTTAAATACACAGCTCTGCGATGACTCATCGAATTTATTTAGAATCAGAAATTTAAAACACAATTAACTGCGTGCTGTCGTGTCTTCTTTATTTTGCTTCTGCATGCTGTGTGAATAAAAACATCATTATTGAAGTAGTATATTTTACCCGTCCTCCTGCAACATGAAGGCATATTTGAATTTTCTGTAAATGCATGTGGTACTTTTAAATAAGTAAACTGTACGTAAATTTATACCATGTATAAATACCAACAGTATTTATAACATGATCAGTGAAATTTATAAAACTGAGTAGCTGATTTTGCTAATATCGGCATTACCTGTACCACTGCTTAGATTTCATCGATGATTAACATAAAATTTTATCAATAAATAATATAACTCATTCACAGATTACACTTGGAAATATACTATAGCAGTACCATTTCATTAATCATATCACTGGGTACAAAAAGGAGGACTTGAGAACCTACAGTTTGCCCATCGTTGTTTTTCATTATACTAATGGTTTATAATATTAGAAAATAATATAACAAATGCATGTTAATAAAAATATGCACAAATGAATTATATCTTCATTTGTGCAGAAATATTATCTGCACAAATGAAGCAAAACTGAATTATGATGCAAAGTGTCTGCAAACCTTATCTGAAAAATTTCTATTTCGGACCTTAACTTGAAAAATTTTAAATTTTTATTATATGCATTTAATAATTTTTATATAACGTAATATTTAACAACATTTTGGCACGAAAATATTATATTCAACTTTCAAATGCATGTAATTCTAATTTTCATTTATTAATGTACTTTTCAAAATATTTTCTGTTTAGCAGTATGCCCTTTATGGTAATTCAGGATATGCCCCTGGGCCAGCTATATATATGATCATGTTATCATTAACTAATGACAAAGACAAGTCAATAAAAATTACTTTGTGTTGTTTAATAGCCAAAAACAAAGCTAAATGTAATAACTAGCACAAATAAACAAAAAATTTTTATCAATTATTAAAACTCTGTGCTCTAATTATAACATCGGGCTTCTTCCTTTTTTCCCCCCTCACATGTCTTCTTTCATACTTCTCATTATCCAATTAATAACAATTCTACCTATTATTGACATATTGTTGGCTACATGCCAAAACCTTTACTATCTTTTACTAAAATCTATACTTTTTATTAACATGCATTTGTCATATTATTTTCTAATATTATAAACCATTAGTATAATGAAAAACAACGATGGGCAAACTGTAGGTTCTCAAGTTCTCCTTTTTTTTCCCAGTGATATGATTAATGAAATGGTACTGCTATCACTGGACTTGTAATTCATGCTGTATCACCCCTCCCAATACAGTAGAAGTACAGGGATGAAAAATGTACAGATATACAGCAAATTTATGATAACAAATATTTGAAAAGTAATAAATTTCCTGCTTTGATTTATACTAACAGTATTTTCATCAACTTGCATTATATTTTAAGGGAAAATATTTTGCTGAAAATTTCATGAAAAATGGGATTTTAAATTTATTATGCATGCAATCTTATATCTGGTCTGAATTTTGTTATACATGCAAAATTGCTTAAAAAAATAACTTGAAATAACCCATTTAATAGTGTAGCATGTATTGCATAATAAAGGATAAACAAAAAATACTGAGGGACCCACTATATCAATACACATTTTAGAATGGCCCTTGTAAGAATAGCAGTTGGCATCTGCTGATATAAAATATCAATCAATGAAAAAGATGCAAATAAAAGTATTATTAGACATAAGTCATAACTTGATTTTTCTCAAAATCAAGTGCATGTCATATCTTTAAATGGAGTTTACTTAAGGAAGCAATGATATACAAAGATATGATCATATTTATGGCCACTCGCAGAAAAACACAAAACAATGTTTATTCTTTTGTTGCTTTTTGTACCCGAAACTCAAGTTTATAACAATCTATTAGTTTTATCAGATTTTAATAACAAAATTTTCTTAAATTTGAAACTCATCACTCAAAATTCAACTGTAACTTCAGACATCATAACGCATTGCCAATTTTTTTAATATGCTTTAAATATAAGCATGAATATAATACATTTTAGCAGAAAAATAAGCAAAAAATTTAATTACTAAAGAATTTTATTAAAGATCAATGGATATTCTCGCAACAAGTGACCTACCACCCATTAACCATGATCAAAAACAAAGAAACTAATAACATTATTGTACGAAATCACACAAAAAGCAGAAGTATATTAATAAAGAAATAAAAAGAAATTATACGTACTTACTTTTGTTACACTACCAGAAGATTTATTACATTATCATATTATTATATTAACTTATATAACATTACTAGACAAACGTATCGATGTGCTTCCAAAGAGGATCTATCATATCTTTCAATGGTCATTATCGTACTTAGGCAAACGTATTGATGTGTTTCTGAAGAGGATCTATCATACGTTTCAGTGGTCATTATCGTACTTTAAACACAGTAAAAAAGCAGTTAAAGAAATCTTATTTGGTATCTGTCAATTAAAGCAGTCCTGTTTCAGAAATTAAAGCAGTTCAGAGGGGTGAGAGTGAAACAAGAATGCCATGAGTCACCCTGATATAAAGTCAGGCAAGGCCAAATCACACAATTCATACTCATTACCAAAAACAAGTACAGGGTAGTTCACTTATTTTTATTAAAATAGTGTAGCAATTTATTCCATTTGAATAAAGTTAACTAACCTGTTCTTCATCATCTGACGACAGTGTTTCGGCTTCTTGATTATTGGAACTGAAAAATTAAACGAATGATTGAGATACTTAACACTTTAAAATATAATGATTCTTATGCTCGAGAAGTATTGGCTAATTCTATATGCCATTTTACAAAGTGAAGTTAGAGAAATAAAAAACATATCTGTAAAACATTCTCACATTATTTATCCGATAATAATACATAAATTTAACTACATCAAAAATGAGATAGCATATTCTGATACTTTCTTATTATTATGCCCTCCTTTATTCAAATGTCATTAACAGTTCTCTTGTTAATGTACTATGCCAAAGTGGTAACCCTACTCAGGGCTCATCCCATGATGAGTGAAATTTAAGTGAAATATATAAAATAAAAATATAAGTCTTGATAATGTTCGAGGACATAATGTTTAAGTCCTCACAACAATTCATCCAAATGCTAAGTTTTTATCCCTTTCACCAACACCACTTCCTTAATCCAGCCAATAGATCAAGGAATCAAAGTATTTCAGAGACTATTATGTCAGGTATGTTTATATCTCTGCAAATAAAACACTACATGAAGGAAAGCACAACATACCAATAGCATTTTGGATGAAATTCAACATAAGACGTTTGTTGCAGAGAAATAAACTGGCATGAAAACAAATGAATTTAACAATAATAAATGCTTATTGCCATCAGCTCTGGCCAGAAATCATCAATAATTTTAAAGGATTTCCATGGATTAAAAATGATGCCAAGTAAATTGTGTAAAATAGCAAAAGCAATATGTGGTGAAGGATTTTTACATATGGAAAAAGGAGAAATCAAAGAATTAGTGGAGAATGATGATTATGAAATGACAAATGAAGAATTGAATGATCTTGAAGCACTAGTAGAGAGTCAAAGCAGTGATACTAAATGAGATAAAGAGATTTTAATGCACAAGAAGTTAAATGAATGTTAAAAAGGGAACAGGAATTGTCTGATTTTGTGATGGAGACTGACCTAAATGAAGAAAGAAGAGAATACTTTATGGAAGGTATTCAAAAACATTGCAGTCCTTACTGTGAAACTTTTAACGAGTTGCATTAGACATTGTCCCAAGCAAAAATCATCAGCTCTTTAAAAAAATAATTGTATTATGTACCTACTCATTAAGCAATATAAAAATCCTTTCATCAACATTTGTTTTACTTTTTCCTTTTAATACAACCATATTACGGTTTATGTAGTTATAAATACGTTCTTAATCTGAACTATACTTAACCCATTTTTTTCCATTAAAAGTTAATTATGCGGAATGCAATTTTGCCATACATGCAATATGTTAATGATGTAACTCCTCCATTTGGCAAAGGTTTAATGTATAGGACAATCAATTAAGTGGTACACTACAGTCGTTTTCAGAAATTAAATCAAAATATTCAATAAAAGAGGCCAGATTTAGTGAATAGAAAGGGACCAAACTATAAATGTGATGCTGATTTTTGTTGTTTGACTTCTGAATTAGTATTTATTCGGCGTGTTATTGTGTCTTACTTTCAGCATATTCACCAGATACTGCGTTATCTAATTTCTTTCACTTGTTCTGATCTCTGAAAATCTCTATAAATGAAAAATCATTTCCATGACTTCAATACTGTTAAATAGTGTATTAGTGACTTTTCTATGTGTCCAAACGCCAAATTCTACTTTGAGAGTATTTTGAAATTGGGAGAATGACAGGGCCAAATTCATTGAAAATAGTAGGCAGTACTTCATGGATTAAAGGTTCTTTTACATAACCATAAAAATTGTTCTATTATATTGAAAACACTCAAAATTTTCCAAACGGTCAAATAATTTATTACATACATTAGTTTTAATAAAATGAAGTTTAGATAAGAAGTTTTGCTCTTGATGAAGTGTAATAAAGCAATAATACATAGTTACACACAGGATTATTAGAAACTGACTTTATACCTTAATTAATCTTTAAAAAAAAAAAAAAAAAAAAAAAAAAAAAATAGGTCCCACAGATTGGCTAAATTTTATTCATATTTTCAAAATCTCCTTAGGCTAAAAAAAAAAAAAAATATTGCCATTTATATCTTAATAAGCATTAAAAGATACTACAGAAATGTATATATATGTGTGTGTGTGTAAGATAAAAATATGTAAATCAAAAATGAACCCCATAATTCTCCCTCTCTATTATAAAAATCGTAACTTTTCTGGACTGCATCGTTTCCAGATCAATTCATCTTGCATGGCTTGCATAACACTGATGACATAGCTAACTTGAAACCTGAACTAAGATTTCGAGAACTGAAACCCAGAATTTTCCTCTTGGTGATTTTCCATATTGGATAAATGCACACTTTTAGCTTCAGCTCTCCTGCAGTCAAGATGCTACTTCACTCTGTTTGCTTTGCCGTTTCGCTCACTATGCCATTATCTAAAATATGATACTATATATAAATTTGTGGCGCGTGTATTGCACCCATGATCAATGTGTGATGAAAGATATGTTTTTGATAATCATGTTGAACCCAATAAAAGTTATATTCAATTCGGCCGCATCTGTCTACAAGTCTTTTTCTGTAGAGAGAGAGAGAGAGAGATTTAAAATAGCAAATAAGAGATACATATCAATACTTTAATGAAGAGTATATAATTTGATGAAACTCATAGTAGTTAATTAAAATGTTTATTTATTTACTTTCTTTTGAAGCAATCATACAGCTTAATGCGATACCATGGTTATTTTTCACAGAGAGCATACATGATTTTCCCAAAAAAATACATAATTCCCGTTTTCTTTTTAGTGGAATTTTATTCTCTTTCACATGAAATAGAATTCTTCATTACAAACTTTTGATTCTGACCAAGAAGAACATTTATTTACAATTCTATTATTTCCCTGAAACCCTCAGACAATGTTTTGCTTTCTAGTTTTGAGTACAGAAATCAGCAAACCTTTATTCTATATTGTTTTGCTATCCAAATAATATTTTATAGCTTTGCCCTCCAAATCTTCAGTTTTAGGTTTTTCCTGTGCTACCAATTCCTAATTAGGGTTCTATGAGATAAAATTAAGGCTTATTAATTATTAATGAAGTCTGAGCCAGACAACAAAATATCTGACTCAGGTAACTTCTACTGCATAGCTTCAGCTTTAAATTACCTTTGTAATTATAATCTAGAACTTGCACATTACTGCAAGTGCATATTACTACACTTAACTGCCATCCAGACAGTACAGTGGTTAGTGACACAATTCATACCTATTGGCCCACATTCAAATCCCATAGAAGGCATGGATGCTGTAAGAGCTGTAGTGTCTTTGTAGCAAAAGAGCATTCAAGTACAAAGGAAAAACACATATGGCCCATGCAATATGGCAGGAATATTTTTACAATTTTGGAGATGCACTGGCCACCAGAATTTAGAGGTGACAAAATTTTTAGAATTTAGAGAGGACCAGGCAGCAAAATTCCAACTGGTAAATTTAGAGGTCTAAGTTCATGTGTATTGCTCTCAGGCATCTTCTGAAGAAGTGTAATTTAGACTGAGTCTGCATACTATTCCATGGTAAAATGCAAATTTTTATGGTGTCCCCTTTCCTTGACTTTCTAATGTTCTTTCTGTGGTTCCTCTTTCCTTGATACCCTAAGCATGTGCTTGTTTTCCTTAATGATTAATTTTGCTCTGGGAGATGAAGGACGCCCATTTCATAACTAGGCAATGTCATCTCAATAAGCTGAGATATACATAATGGCTGATCTGTCTAAGGACAATAGCATGCTTTACTTCAGGACTTCATAAAGAAGCTACAAATTATTTTAAACAGCTCCTTGAGACATGGACCTTCCCAAAACCCAAAAATAGATGTACTCAGAGTAAAAAAAAAAGTGGACGGTTCAGTAATTCTTGATCTACTCAGCTGACTGGTTAAATTTATTTGCGTTCTAATTGGAAATCTGGTTAATAACTTGACATTTTAATTAGAACAATTATAATTTAAGAAATTTGTATGGATACCTTGCACAAATAAAAAGAGGAGGAGACATTTCTATATCTCCCATTCTACTGGGCTGATTGATGAAATGTAACTTAGATTTATATATACAGTACAAAGTCCGAAATCAGGATATCCATTATCCTGAATGACCTAAAATCTGGACCTCAAAACCACCAACGTTTTTCTAGTAGGCTTTACGCATACACATTTGATTCCCCCCTCCCTTTGCACATAATGAAACATATGGATAGTTCTGATTCTTAATTTCACTTCGGCACTAAATAAAATACCTTGTTATTGAATCAACAATCATTTTAGCATAAATTTGTGATCAGCAATTTGGCTCCATTGCTGCGTATCTGCTTAGCAAACATCTCAAACCGAAACATTCCATATAGATACATCGTTGCTCTGACACCAACCTGGCGAATCATTATTTATTATACTTTCCTTTCATCACCGCATGTTTATCAAAACATGACAAACATGACTCATGTAGCAATGCCTAAACAATTTTTTATATTAGTACTTGAATAATAAAGGAGTATGGTAACCTTTTATGTTGACATGACGCTTGGCGATGATTACAGATTTAAGTTAAATAGCTAAAAAGTGTTCATGAGGAAAAATTTACCGAAAATTTCTTTCCATATGCTAAAAATAGATTTTGTTGATGATACTCATAGACTCAAAGATTATATTTAAGGCTATTTGAATTAAGAATAACTGATCTGTTATTCTCATAAACCCAGAACCAGTGCCAGGGATCATATGGTCGCACCGACTCACAGAATTTAGGACCCACAGAGATTGCATCAGGTGGTAATATATCTAGCGCCGGCCCTCTATAAGGTTTAGGTATATGTGGGAATTTATTATTCAGAAATCTGATAAGCCTTAAGCATGTGCAAGAAATTGACATAAATATAATAAATAACTAAACTAATACGATTCAGGCTTAATTGTCTCAGTGTGCAATAGAAGCAAGACAAAATTTAACGGAACAACTTGTCGTTAGTCGCCAAGCTCATGATGCATAGCCAAAT